AACTAACTTATTCATGGAGCCCTCAACTAATGCCTGTTGGAAACAGGAGCAAACACCCATACATAAACACTGAGTCGAAGTGGAACTCAGATGCAGATGGAGAGGACAAGACCAGGCGGCAGAAACACATAGGGACAGCTTACCTGAACAAGGAGGAGCAAATGGGCCACCAGATTGATAGCTGGGAAGCCAGCATGGGACTGACTCAGGCCCCCCCTGAATATGGGTCTCAGCCAGAAGGACTGAGCAGTCTAAGGGACCTCAGACAGTGGAGCCAGGATATATCCCTGGTGCACAAAAGGACTTTGTGAACACATCCCCCACGGAGGGATAACTGCCTTAATCTAGAGACAGGAGAGAAGCCCTAGTCCCTACTTCACATGACCTGTCAGACCTACATAACCCCAACTAGATGGCATTCCCCTACATATGGAATTGGGATGGGGGGATGGGAGGGGAGGGTGGTTAGAGTGCATGTGAGAGGGCAGAGAGGGTAAAAGGGAGGGAAGAAAAGAGGGAGGGAGGGAAGAAAAGAGGGAGGGAGGGAGGGAGGGGGAACTGGGATCTACACGTAAAATAATAAATTAAATTTAAAAAAAAATGCTTTGACTCCAATATTTAAGTTCAAGGACAAGTTACTGGGGAAAAGGATTTCTATTTTTGTTTCCATAGAAAATGAAAAGATGTGGATTCCTTCCAGACTAATGTGGTTTGCTCAAGCCAGACCACCTGAAACAGAGTACCAGATGAACCTACATTCAAAACAGCTGGACAAAGCAGCCTTACAGACTACAGCCAGGATTTCTGAATCTTCTTCGAATCCCCCACTACAGTACCCCCTTACCAGCAGGAAGTAGTTTGGAAAGAACGACGCCCAAATTCCCAAATACTGTCTATAAATGTTTGTTTTCATTTAAATGGACTCGGTTATATAAAATAAATAAAAAAATACAAAAAAAAACACCTCAAGATCAAAAAACAAAAAACAAAAAAGAATTAGAGCTTGAGCAAGTGGAGACCCTGTATTGTGGCATCCTGATATGGGCTCTTAGATCCAACAGGGCTAGAGGTGAGGGGGGGGAAGATATAGAATGAAGAAATAGCCTCAGCATGTTGAGTAGTTATAAACAATAACAAAAAAACAAACAAGGGGTATGTGTGAAGGATAATGAATACTGATTTCTCACTGTTTGAGAAAACCATCAGAATTCAGAATATGACAAAGGCAAAATCTAGATTGTTACACTAAAGTAAGAGGTACTAGAGAAAGTTCAGTTTACAATGTATAGATACAGAAATATAGATGTGTGTGTTATACATATATCCTCCAGTTCCAACCATGAAGAGGGTCTGGGGATAGTTATAACCCAATAGTAATAAAAATGTTAGCACTGAGAAATTAGCCTCAACTCAGAGAAAGCATGGATTCCTAGAGAAACAGTTGACTCCAGAGCAAAGTGCAAAATAAGCCAAGAGAGCTAAGAATGTAGCTCAATGACAGAGCCCCATAAGTGGCCCCATGTCAGAGCCTCAGCACCACGGAAGAGAAGAGGAAATGTATGTGTATGCATGCCAAGAATATGTTATGTCAAAATAATGATGCTCAAAGAATGATGAGACACAGAAATGACACAGAAGCCAAATACGTGAGCTCCCACTGATCAAAGTGCAAAACAATTTAAACATCAAAATAAATAGTCTGAATACCCGTGTCCTCCAAAAAGTCCCTATATTGAAGTCCTACCATCCAAAGTAACAGAACTAGATGGAATCTTTGGGAAGTACTCAGGTCATGGGGTTGGAGTCCTCATAAACAGGTTAATTCCCCTATTAAAGAGATCCTATAAAGCTCATGCAGCCGCTAGTTCTTTGAGGTTAAATAAAGTGAGAGTATGGCTATGTACAAGCATGCATCTGACTAGACCTCACATTTGTTGGCACTTTAATTTTAGACTTTCTAGCCTTTACAACTGAAAAAAGTAAAGCCACTGTTTATAAATCATCCAGTTTATAGTACTTTGTTATAATAACACCCATAGCCTAAAACAAACAATAGCAGTACAATCCACTACAAAAGACACATAATTCATGAATCTATATTGATGTTAAGTATATGACATCCATTAAAATCCTGATGAGGACAAAGAAACCTAATTTCAAGGTAGAAGTTGAAAAGGATTAACTCTGTAGTAGAAAAGCCTGGCAGATGGTCCTGGAAGAGCAGGCCCTCTCTGGCCACAGCAAAAGACCTGGCCCCACCCCTTACCACAGGCGTGAGACAGCTGGCTTGGGCATGGAAGAGCTGGCTCTGCCCTTTGCCTAAAGGGGTGGTCCCAGCAGCCCAGACATACTAAATCAAGCTACCACCCAGACCCACATCCAGGACTCTGAGTTGGCCCACCCCAACATCTACCCGATCTATGACCTGCGAAGTGTGTGAAGGCACTGGTCCTGAGGAATTATAGCCACAGGATCTCTAACGACTCTGAGTGACAGCAGGATATTCAAGAGAAGTTTTGGTGAGGGTCCAGTATTGATGGAGTACCAGAAGCCAGAGGCCTTGGGCCAGACCAACAACTCACTGCAATGAACATTTGCAAGTAAAGCTGAATGGACAAAGGGGTACACTGCAGGACACATGGCAGCTCTTATTGCCACTAAGCCAAATGGAGAGGTGTTGGAGAGGCAGAAAGATGAAGGATTGAAGTGGGGAGGTCTGTTTGTTTTGTTTTTAATTAATATTTTTTAATTTTCTTCTTGGAGGACTGTTAAGAGGGTAAGGAGGGATATGGAGAGACTGGGAAATGAGCAGGCTTGGAGTGCATAATATGAAATTCCCGAAGAATTAAAAATTATGTTTAAGAAAAGAAAAGCCTGGCAGACACTGATTACAAGTAATCAAAGTGAAAGTATGTACTAACAAAAAAGACTCAGTGATCATCAGTGCTGTGATACACTTGCCCAAGTGTATGTATCCAACTATGAGAGCACAGAGGTTTCAAGTTGAGGGACATTCTACAAAAATAACTGACCTATAATCTTCAAAAGTGACAAGATCAAGAAAAAGATGAAAGAAATGTTCCATGCTGAAAGGGGGAGACTAGAGAGAGAATGAAACAATGAACACTCCTTTTGCCAGTTACGTGATTAACAGCATAATCAACAAAACCCAAAGCTAAGAGGAATACTGAGTCAATATGAATGTAGGACAATGTTCTTATTTATATAAAATTCACATTAAACCATTCTGAGTGACAGGGCATAACATCAGCATGTTCCTCTCAAAATGTTCAAAAAAAAAAAAAAACCAACTACTGTGTACTATACTTATTTTTTTTTTCAAATTTGTTACTGTTTAAAACTGTTTGGGGGAGTGCTAGGCATGGGCTTTAATTCCAGCACTGGGGGGGGGGGACACACAGGTGAATCTCTGTGAGTTCAAAGTTAGCTGGTCTACATAGGGAGTTCCCCGAGAGCCAGAGCTCTGTAAAGAGACCCTGTCTCAAAAAACAAATAGGTAGGTAGATAGACAGGCAGATAAAATTACTGTGGGAGAAAGAGCAATGTCCTAAAAACTGAGCAAGGTTAAAAACAAAACTGATTCTCCACACTGTCAGTCTAGATAGCACAGACTATGTCATCTTGCTAAGAGGCTGAAAAATTACTAAGAAATTACATGACATTTTGGAGCACACAGAAGACTCTCTAAATATAGCCCAATGTCTCCGTGTGTGTGTGTGTGTGTGTGTGTGTGTGTGTGTGTGTGTGTTTATGACAGAGTGGGCATCCTATTAGGGCACACCTATGAAAGTCAGAAGACAACTCTGTGCAATCAGTTCTTCCAACCTTTTCGTGACTTCAGAGATCAAACTCAGGTCTCCAGGCTTGCCCAGCAAAAGCCTTTATCGATTGAAGCATCTCACATACCAGCAAGTAGTTTTCTTAAGCGATCTCAATCAGGGAGTAGTGAGAAACAAAAGAAGTGAAAGATCCCTTCTCTGAAATAAAGTCTTAGGGACGAGTAAGAGGTGGATAGAACAATGCTATACTAGTGTTATCAACGACTAATCATGGACAAAGCACAAACTAAGCACCTCCTGGGACAAAGAGGCTAGAGACCTGATATCTAAACTTCCTTCCAAGTTTGAGACTGGAATAACCCTGAAAGAAAATAGCTTCCACAGCTCACCTGTGATACAAACACGAAAATAAACGTGCGTGGACCCTGTATAGTCCTGGTTGTGCAAGTCCATCAATCAATGTATAAAAAGCAATGCATCTGCCAAATTGTTCCTGGCGAAGAATTCTCCGATCAATTAAAGAAGACAATCAAAACACAGGAAAGCTAAGTAAGAGCACCTGCGATGGCTGCCTGGCTATCCTTTGAGAATCATTTCGTTCTGGAATGCCGGCACATGCGTCCTGAAAGAATGTTTCAAAGTGCAAGGGTCCTTTGGCCTTTCCAAGTACCGGGCGTTAGGCCGGGATGTCCTAGCCCCCCCCCCCCCCCCCCGTCCCCCAGAGGGCAGGCGGGAGGCAGCGCTGAACTCTCTGGACTTCCTCTCCGGGAGGACTGCCCCCAGCGTCACTCTTATTCAGGATGCAGGGCACAAGTGTATTCCTAGGAACTTCGCAGTGTGCTCCCGCCCTTCCAACCCCGCCGGCACGAGGGCGCGGTCCCGGGTGCCAGCAGCCTCTACCCAAGAGCGTGGTGGCGCGCGGGCAGGCTCCCCACCGGCCCAGCCCCCCAGCCCCCGGCCGCACCGCAGTGGCCTAGCCCTGCGACCGCCGTCCCGCGGTTCCCTCACACGCCCACCGCCAGCCAGGCTCTACCGCGCAGCGAAGGCCCGACACCAGTCGACCCACCGCTCCTTCACCGCGGGACCCGGCCCTCCCGCCTCCCCGCCTCCCGACCACGACGCCCGGCCCCGCCGAGCCCACTGGACGGCTGCCGGGGGCGGAGGCGAAGCCCGGGGGCGGCGCCCGCCCCACACCCTTACCTGGCTTCTCGTGGTCGTAGCCTACCACAATGAAGTAGTCGGCTAGCCGAGCCATGACCGCCGCCGCCGCGCCCGGGAAGCGGGTTCCCGTCGCCGCCCTCGCCGCCGCCGCCCACCCGGCCCGGGCGAGCTCAGCATTTTCCCTTCAGCGGCTGTAGCGGTAGCAGCGGCGCTTCAGCCATGTTTGACAACCGAGGCGCGCACTGCGCCTGCGCCGCGCCTCGTGCCCGCCCCTCCCCCGCCCCACCCGAGAGGGCTCGGCGACCCGGTTCCCGGCGTTCGCGAGCCCACGCGGCGCTCCGAGGCCACTCGGACTCGCGGCTCGGGAAGTGGGCGGTGGGGCGCTGCCTCGGCACGCGCTGCCGCCGAGGCTGTGCGCTTAGAGCTGGTGTGCTGCCTCAACGCTCCCCTCCCCTTATTATTTATTTTCTTGGAGCTAGGGTCCTTCCTTCCGCCTTCTCTCTCCCTTTTGCAGTTGGGGGAAAGCGAATGGAGGGGTACGGGGTCACTTGGAAAGTTTGCTCTTTTTTGCTGCTTGTTATCACCGGCAGCACAGAGGAGATTCTCCCGCCCTCGCTGGAAGCTTGGAATTTGCACCGCCAAGTCTTTTTGCTGCACGTTTCCTGTTTATGTTGTGCAGATGGGAATTTTAGAAACATGCCACCGAGCAGGCGGGGGAGGGAAAGACTTGCGCAATCCTCAGAGGCGCCTATGGTTTCTGGGCTGCCTGGGCCAGGAATGGCCAGCTTGGGCTTTCCTCGGAGCGCCCGAGGGAGTTGTATTCCACCTAGGAAAGGGGCATTCCCGGGATCCTCCTGAAATGGGCCGGTCTCTCCCGGAGAGCTCCGCCCGCCTGACTTTCACTGCCTTGCGGCGGGTCTCAGGGTTCTAGTAGTTGAAGCAGGTGTTATCTTTGCTCTACTGCAAAACACTCAACAGAATGAGTTCGTGGAGCTCTGAGTCCGGTCTCGACATAACCAAGTCGACTGAGTTTTTTAAAAAATATCCTCCACTAATGTTTTCGAATTGGCTAACACAACCCTTGGACAGTTTACTTTTTCACTTTTTAATGATCATGAAATTTTAATAGTAGAATATGTATGCGAATTAAGGCTGAAGTTTTCGTAACCTGGGGTTTAGAAATGATCTTAGTGAGAACATCACTCACTGAGGGTTTGATCCTTAACATATTGTACATAGTGCTAATGTGATTAATACAGCACACACACACTCTGCAGTAGACTAGCAGAAAGCTAGTGTCTGGAGCTATGAACTCAAGTCCAAAGGGTCATTGTCTCAGCTGCTCTGATTGATTCGTTCTCTTTTCTGGGCCAGCATTCCCCTTCCCACTTCCGTGCTGGGAACTTAGGGCCTTATACATGCTAGGCAAGCTTTGTACCATTAATCTATATTTCCAGGAAAAGGCCAGACTTTTTCAGCACATGCTGAAATTGTTGGATTATGCTAGAATAATTGAAACTGAAGAGATACTTTAACTCAGGACCTCCTTTGTAAACTGCTACTTGTCAGCATAACTGCAGTGATGAAAAGTAGGTTGGTCTTCAAAATAATAAAAGCAAACAAAACCATTCACTACATCTCACCGAGAAAATTTCCCAGTAACTTCCCAGGGAGCTCTTCCTCCACTTTTTCAGTAAAGAGTACTCTCACTTCCTCTAGAGATAGCCCATTCCACTGGTGAACAGCCACGTTATATTACAAAGTCCTTCCTTAGCTGGCTTTTGGTGGTGAACACCTTTAATCCCAGCACTTGGGAGGCAGAGATAGGCAAATCTCTGTGAGTTCAAGGCCAGCCTGGTCTACAGAGTGAGTTTCTGGACAGGCTCCAAAGCAACACAGAGGAACCCTATCTCAAAAAGAAAACAGAAAAGAAAAGAAAGTCCTTACGTACTGTGTCAGAGTTGTCTTGCAACTACCCTCTCTGAAGCTACCTGGTAGGGGAGAGACACCACATGACTCTGTCTTAGTATAATTTTGAAAATGGTTATGGGAGTGGGGGTTCCATAATTTTACCTTTTTGAAATTTGGGATAAGGTACTGGGAAGATGGCTCAGCATCTGAGAGCTGTATGCTGCTCTTCCAGAGGACCAGATTTGATTCCCAGTATCCACAATGACAGCTCACAACTAGTAGTTGCAAAGGATCCAACACCCTCTTCTGGCCTCCTCCACGTATAGGCACATATATGGTACAAGAACATGAAAACATCCATACACATGAAATTAAAAAATCTTTTTTTTTTTCTAATTTTTCGAAACAGGGTTTCTCTGTAGCTTTGGAGCCTGTCCTGGAACTCCATCTGTAGACCAGGCTTGCCTTGAACTCACAGAGATCCACCTGTCTTCTGCCTCCCGAGTGCTGGGATTAAAGGCATGCACCACAACCACCAGGCTGAAGTAAAAATCTTTTTTATAATTGGGATAAAACTTATCTATCAAATATACACTTCAATGGCATTTAATATATCTCACTGTTGGACAATCACCACATCTGTCTAGTTTCAAAACATTTTCTTCACCCCAAATTCATTAAATAGACATTCACATTTCCCTCTCTAGGCCTTGGCAATAACCAGCTTGCTTTCTAACTCTTTGGGTTTGCCTATTGTGGGTGTTTCATGTAACTTGTAAAATACGTGAAATTTTGTGTCTGATAATATTGTTTAGTATACTGTTTTCCAGCTTTATTCCTGTTGTAGCAGGGCATTTCTTTGCATTATACTAGAGAATCAGTATTTCATTGTGCATTACTGTTGAATAACACTCCACTATATGTGTGGACTGTGCTTTGCTTATCTGCTGATGGGTTGAGGCATTGTTTCTACTTCATGGGTACCAGCACCATGACAATGCATAGCTTTTATGTGAGTATCGATTTGCAATTCTTTTGATATACCCTTCAGAGTGGCACCATTGGACACTGCTGAACTACATATGGTAATTCTGTTTAACCCTGAGTACCCACGGTTTTCCACAATGACTGAATGATTTTACCTATAGTACTGAACAAGGATTCTTGTTATTTTGCTCAGCTATGGACAATAAAACACAAACCACAAAACTCAACAGAACCCAACTGGAATTTATTGGGAAAAGGGAACAAAGGGAGAGGGTAGGTGTTAGCCAACCAGGGGAAGAAGGGGAAAGGAGAGGGGATAAGGGGCAAACAGGTGGGAGGTCCTCGATTAAAAAGGAAAGCTTGCACATGTGTACAGAGTCCTTACACAGCCACGTAAAGTAAGCTAAGTATCTGCCTGAATGCTGGTGTGAATACCCTGCCAGTTGTCAGGGATTAGGGTCAGCATAATGCCAGGATACCAACAATTCTAATTTCTTTTTCTTAAAAAAAGATTTATTTATTACATACTCAGTGTTCTGCCTGCATGTCTGCCTGCAGGCCCAAAGAGGGCACCAGATCTCATTACAGATGGTTGTGAGCCACCAACTGGTTGCTGGGATTTGAACTCAGGACTTCTGGAAGACTGAGCCATCTCTCCAGTCCCTGAATTCTAACTTCTTTATATATTTGTGAACACTTTTTTTCCTGGTTGTTTTTTTTTTTTTAAATACTATAGGCATCATAATAGGTATAAATACATTTTTTGTTTGTTTGGCAGGGTTCTGTCTTTTGTTGTTTTGTCTTTTGTTTGTTTGCTTGTTTTTTGAGACAGGGTTTCATTGTGTAGCTCTAGCTGTCCTGGAACTCACTCTGCCTGCCTCTCCCTCCCAAGTACTGGGATTAAAGGAATGTGCCTGGCCCAGTAGGTATAAATTATTAATCTTTGTTGTTGCTCGTGAGACACAGTCTCACTAAAGACCACACTAATCTGTAACCTACATTACCCTTGACCTCTGGATCCTCCTTCTTTACCCCCGCCTTCCCCCCCACACACACACACTGGGATTAACAACATGGAATTAACCACCAGGCCTAACTAAATGAATGTCTTACTGTGCTCTTATATTTCTTTAATGACTCATGATGCTGAGCATCTTTTCCTGTGTACATTGGCCATTTCTAAATCATCTTAGGATAAATGTCTATACAAGTCCTTTGCCAATCACACCCTCTTCCCACCCTCTAGGGATATAACCCTTGGCTTCCCCCCTGCTAGGCAAGCTCTGTGCTACGGAGCCCTACCCCAGGTCCAGCCCTGTTTGTCTTTATTGTGTTTGTAAACTCTGAGGACTAGATCCCTATCACATATAAACTCTGCAGATATTCTGTAGACTGCCATGTCATTTTCTTGATCCTGTCCTTTGGCTCACAAGTGTTTAACTTTGATAAAGTCCAAAGTTTGTTGGTTTTCTGTGTTTTTTGTGTCATATCTAAGAATCTATTGTTGAATTTAAGATCATGGAGATCTACTTCTAAGTAAGCAATTCGTAATTATAGCTCTTGTATTTGGGCCTTTGATCCATTTTTAGTTGACTTTGTAGTGGTAGGATTCTCATTTTACCTTTTTTTTTTTCCAGATCTATGTTTATTCTCTTCTATGTTTATTCTCTCTCTCTCTCTCTCTCTCTCTCTCTCTCTCGTGTGTGTGTGTGTGTGTGTGTGTGTGTGTGTGTGTGTGTGTGTGTGAACACAAGCCCGCATGCCTGTGATGACCAGAAAAGGATGTCAGAGCCCCCACACCTAGAGTTACAGGCAATTGTGAGCTACCCACCATGGGTGCCAGGAACTGACCTTAGTTCCTTGGATATGAATCAAATTCTCTTAACCACTGAATCAGCTCTCCAGACCCTGTTTACTTTTTAAATGTATATTATTTAAATTCTATTTGCAACTATTGGTATTTTCCTTCTGATGTTAGGAATGAAACCCAGGGTAATCGCTATTTCTTCTACTAAGCTATATTTCTACCCTGCAAGTTTATTTTATGTATTTATTTTTGCTTTATCAGAGTAGCTTTTCAAGCCTAGAATCAAGCACTACCTTCCCAGTACTCAATGACATTTAAATGGCTGTTTTTTTGTAAAAAGAGGTTTTCACCTGTCCTAAGGTAATGTCTAAAGGTACTATGTGTTCGTATCTACACATGAACACATTAGCATCCACTGAAGCTGTCCTTTGTTTTCTCACCCAACTGCCAGGCTGCTGAAACTGATAAGCCTGAACAAGGCAGCCTGATTGCTGAGGTTGGCTGAAGGCCATCCCATGCCCTAAGATAACTACCACCATCTTCC